GGACGCTAGCTTCAGGGCTCTCCGCCCCCAAAGGGGTGGCACGCAACTGCAAGGGTACAGCAGACACTGGGCTGCAGGGACCAGACCTCTGATCGTGGCAAACTGCTATCTTCGGCTCATGGCTAATGCCGTGCGCATCTGTGTAGAGGAACCGCTTGCACAGGGGATCAGCTTCGACCAGCGGGGGCTCGTGCCAGGCAAATCCATTCTGGCCCACACAGTGGGCATTGATGAGGCCGTGTGCCACGTGGTACTACAGCGTGACCAGGGGGCCCGCCTGGCTCTTCGACTTCCAAGCTGCCTTGCCGAACGTGGCGCACCAGTTCCTCCTCCGGGCCCTGCGAGCGGCGAGCCTGCCGCCGTGGTTGACCAAGTTCGTGGAACACCTGTACTGGCACAGCCGCTGCTCCATGTTAGCCGGGGGCGTCGACAACGACGGCTTCACGTCGCACGCTCGCATTCGACACAAATGCCCGCAGTCGCCCACCCTCTTCGCGGTGGCGGTGTTGCTCCGCCGAATGTGGGGGGAGCTGCCTTACCTGACCACAGGAGCCTCCACGGAAGACGTGACCACGGTCGCAGAAGACATCGACGAAACGACCCCCGTTTTGCGAGTTTGTCCGTCCTTCGGACAGGCGTCGAGGCTGCACTTGGCTCTGCCCAAGACAATTTTGGTCCCGATGTTCCGAAGAGACCACGACTGCATTCTCTGGGACGTGCTGACGCGACTGCACGGCTGGGGGGGCACGCAGGCTTCCGACCACGCCAAGTATCTCGGCTTCATGCTCGGGCTGGGCCGCGGCCACAAAAAACTTGAACAGCCTGTTGCAAAATGCCTTGGCCGCGCAACATCCTGGGGCTCTGCAGGCGGTGGATTGCGTGCGACGGCGGTGGCCTACTCAGTGTGCATCGCATCCGCCGTCAGCTTCTTGGTGCAAGTGGACGACTTGCCGCCCGGGCGGGAGGCGGTGGAGAAAAAAACTTTTAAACGCCTAGTCCTGGCGTGCACCCAGTGGGAGAACACATCGGACCTGTACGATCTCGACTTGCTTGGCTTCCCGAACGGGTTCCTGGACGTGCGTGCGAGGCAGAAGGCCGTCAATCTCCGAGTTGGCCACGTGGAGGCGGCCGCCTTCGGGAGCAAGGATTGCGAGCAGAGCGGTGGCTTTGCGGCGGGCCCGGCTCGACTCTGACAACCTTTGAGGCACTATGGGGACAGTCATGATGCACCACTGTAAAACAAACAAATCTTTGAGAACAGTACACGGCACTATCCATGGGGCCCACCCATTGGGCACAATACCAGAAACGATACACCCGCAACCGCTAGGAGATCAGAAGGCACCACTCATCTACTAACACCCGCACGGCACCATTGCAAGAGCAAATGGCAACAACTCAACCACCAAGAGGCACTAGCTTTAGAACACCAACCGTAAGGCCCCAAAACACGAAAACGAACACACCGTGTGTAATCGTTAAGGTATGCTACGGCCCATGTACCGCGGGTTCGTGTCACGTCGACCCCCTGACACCGCGGGGATCGTTCAATCTTGAACGATCGGCCGTTTCTAAAACATCCGATCCTTCAACAACGTTAGATTTTTGGTCGCTGGCGGCGCTCAACGCTGAACGCCGGCGGCGGGGGTCGCGGCCGGTCGACACGACGCGAACCTGCCGTGGAACGCTGGCCATCGGGCGCCAATGCGCGACCCAAGGCGGCACCGCTGGGGCACTACTGGTAGGTCGGGCATGTCCTCCCACAGGCGGATGTGGAAAGAAACACAACATAAGTAAACAAACCTTGAAGACATGCTTTTTTTCTTGAGCAGCAAAAGCGAGAAATCGTTCCCAGACTATTTTTGGACTATGCTTAAATATTCCTCCAGAAGCGGGACGTGCTCGATGCCACGCTGGCCATCCGGCGCCACTGCGCGAACCAAGGCGCCAGCACTGCAGCACGACCTGGCGATGACCACCGCCCTGGCCAGGGTGCACCCAAGGGAACGCAGGAGGGAAGGCGAGGCCAGGAAGCCGCAGAGGATAGGGAACAGCACAGGGCACCCTCAGTGGAGCGCCAGGGCACCGACGAGCATTTCGAACCCATCGAGCGTCGTCACCAGTGGTGCACCAAAACAAGAGCGATAATTCGGAAACGAATCTAACATCGCGTCGCCAAGCCCTCGGCAGTCATCCGCAGACAGCCACAGCAGTACAACAAAACAGCGATAGGGCGCAGATGCCCAGGCACCGTGAGCCACCAGCCACCGATGAAGCACTGCTTGTTGGGCTTTTTGCTTGACTCCTGGCTTCCTCGCAACTCCCCCTGCTGTCAAGGAGTCAGGGATCAACCATGGGCCTTCGCGGCGTCCCTACGGAAGGCCTTTCAGCTTACCAGAGATGCGCGAAGTAGGAACGTGCGGTGCTATGGCAGCTCCCCTCCTGCTTTTTACCATCGCCTGTCCTACACTGCCTCTAGCCAAAACATCGCTACGCGAAGCTTCAACAAATTGAGCAACAAGTGCAGCCCTCTATCTGTGTATGTGACTGTTGCAACTCTTGAGACGCATGCGCACGTCGCAGCAACGGGAACCGCATTTTGGAAACAGCTCGCCATCCACCCGTGTCTGATGGGAACTCCAAGCTTTCAGGCACGACGCTGTGCGGACGTGTGAAGCCACACGCCCAGCCTGCCCACTGGTCACGTCTGGTGGTGCGAAGGGGAGCGACGCTGTGCGAACGTGCGAAGCCGCACGCCCGACCCGCCCAGTCGTCAGGTCTGGTGGTACGAAGGGGGGGAGTAGCCTACAAGGCAGATATGGGGCGGAGGCTACACGAGGGATTGGGGGGAGAAGATGGGATAATATGGAGTGAAACGAGAAGAGGGAGAGACGAGGAGGGAGGATGCTGATGAAAGCTTACATTCGGCCGTGTGCCCTCAAGAGTCCCCATCTGGGAGCGACGAGTGCGCGATGCAAAGCGACGCAGAAATACAGTACATAGCTCGCGGCGCGCAGAGGGGGGTCGAGGTGAGGGCATGGAGCCTGGGATGAAGAATCACAGAGACTGGTCCTGAACGGAGTTGGGCCTTGGGGCGGGACGAGGCGATGGTCTTGGAGCTCCTGCAGTCGAGTGTGATTAGGGAAGACACGCGAGAGGACACATCACCCTTCCGAGGGCAACACTGCCATAGGAATGTAGAAGGTATGCGTCGCGAAACACAGGACACAAAGGAACCTGATTCGCAGGTTCGACCTGCCATCCAAGCCCGACTGTAAGGTGTCTCTCTGCAGTCTCAGAAGGCTGGCCTCGCCTCCACGCCCTGGTCTCTTCTGCGCGCCGCTGTGCATGGCGCACGCTCTGCGGAAAAACGGCCGCTGGGAAGTCGGGCTGTCTTCGGCGGTGGACAAACCTCCCTTTAGCAGACCTCCCCTCAGTGAAAACGGCCTGGGGCCGAAACCGACGGACCTGGACCCACAAAAGTGACGGCCGCCGACGCCCTCTCGCGACCCGAAAACGGCCGATCCCTTAATCGACGTGTCAGGGTAGGAGGTCTGTGCACCCCCGATGTCTACAGTGGGGGCTCGGCCACAAGAAACCTCCGCAAGAAACCCAGCCCTGAAATCCACGATTTGTCCGTTGAAAACCCAAATTTGTCGATCGATAGTCGTCCAGATCTTATTGGGGGCACATAGAAATCCAAGAAACCCTGGGCACCCTGGCAAAATCCAACTGGTTTCTTGGCACACGCCCCCACTGTACTGGCCACGACGTCAGGAGGGGACACCCAGACCAGTGCAGAGCAGCCGGCACCACCGGACTCGAGCCAGTGGGCCGTGCTGCAGGGCACGGGGGAACAAAAGCAAGGCCCCGAAGGCCTCACCGCTTGCCATCGCTCGGACGTCCATTCCCTGTGCTTTTTTTCGGCTTCGTGCGGGTTTTTGTTTGCCCGACGATCCAGGATGCTCTCCTCCAGGGTCCTCGCCGAGAAAAAATATGCACAAGTCCGCGCGATGCCGGGACCGAAGACTCGTCGGCCAATGCATGTCAGGATTGCAGAAACACTGAACAAGCATAAATTATAAAGTGTCGATCGTCTGCGCGGGTTGCTTGGATCTTCGGGGGCGGCAAAGAGGGGGGTGTCCAAGAGGGGGGGGTGAAGATCATGACGGGCGGCATGTGCGCGGCCCAGCGTGGGGGCCGGGGACACGATGAAATAAGAGGGGGCGCCATGAAATCTGGGGAAATATCATGGCCCCCGCCATGATATCCACCCCCCCCTAGTCATCACCCCCCTCTTTTCCGCCCACGAGATCTGCGCTGGACCCCCCCTCCCTGGCGCGTGGGCCCCGCTTGGCGCGGCGCCAGAGGCGCCGCCGGGGGGGGTCCCCGTGCCGACCCAGGCTGGCGGCGCGCGCAAGGGGGCAGGTTACTCCAGATTTCGTAATAAAGGGAGGGGGGTCTCATTTCGGGGGGGGTCTCTTCCAGGCTATCTTGGAGGGCCTGGGGGGGTCTGGGGACGATGTTTTGGAGGGTTCTCCCACGGGGGGGGGGGTCTGAAATGGCTCGTCTTGGAGGGTCCAGACCCCCTCCCTTTTATTACGAGATCTGGAGTACCAGCCTGGAACATATCCCTATCCCTATGCTGGGCACCTCCTCATCACGATGCCAATCTAGCTTCGGGATTCTCTTATCTTTTGAGGGCGGATCCCTGAGATTGTTGTCATCGCCCTTTGGTGTGTTCAATCTTAGGGACAGGGATACGGGATACGTGCGAGGCTGGTAAGTAGGGGGAGGGGGGAAGGCTTCTTTGAAGGAGCCTACTTGGGAAGGTGCGGGCCTTGCATCTGCAGATAAGGCTCGTGTCTTCTGAGAAGCAGGGGCGCTTCTGAGAAGCCTCCCACCCTCCCCCTGCCCCCCTTTCTGCGACTGGCCGACCCAACAACATCTGCGCGGAGCTCCGAGAAGTTCTGGTCGTGCCGCTCTTCCTTCGAAGGCAGCTACCAAGACAAGGAAGCATCAGCTGCCGCCTCCGCACACGGCCCCGCGCTGCCGGCGCCAGACCCCCTCCCCGCCTCCTCCTCCTCCTCCTCCTCCTCCTCCTCCTTTTCCTTCTCCTCCTCCCCGCCAGGGGGCCCGCCCCCCCCCCCGCACGGCCCGGCGCTGCCGACGTCGTGATGCTTGTCTCCGGCTTGGCATTACCGTCGTGTGTTTGCTCACGGCGCGAGGTGGCCTCCGAGGCCCGGCGAGGGCTCCCGGAGGCCGAGAATCGTAGAAGAAGATGCGGGCCATAGTCATATCCACATCCAGTGCGTCTTGGAGTCTTGGGCTCTCTTCCCCAGAAGCCGTAGACGCACTGGATTTGGATGAAACACTGGCTCCGAGCGGCTTGATTCTATCCATATCCAGTGCGCCTCGGCGTTGCGGCACCTCTTCCCGAAAAGCCCAAGACGCTCTGGATATGGATATCAGTACTGCCCGCAGAAGAGTAAACGCCACAGACATCAACCCCAGGAAGCATTTAAGAACCCCCCCCTCCGGCAAATCGATAACCCTTTCCGCACCATCATCCATATCCGCATCATCATCATCATCATCATCATCATCATCATCATCATCATCATCATCATCAGCATCAGCATCAGCATCAGCATCAGCATCAGCATCAGCATCAGCATCAGCATCAGCATCAGCATCAGCATCAGCATCAGCATCAGCATCAGCATCATCATCATCATCATCATCATCAGCATCAGCATCATCATCAGCATCATCATCATCATCATCATCATCATCATCATCATCATCATCATCATCGTGTCCGGGTGCTACAGCTATCGTTCGGTTATTCCGGCCCTTCGGAATATCGAATAAAAAATGCGGTGCTACGATATCGCCAGGGGGTTTCTTAAATGCTTCCTGGGGTTACTCTTGGCGCTCCGCGGATCTCTTGGCCTCTGCGCGGGACGCCCCCCTCCCCGGCGCGCGGCGCGCGGCGCGCGCCAGGGGCGGCACCAGGGGCGGCGCCGCACGGGGGGGGACCCCGCGCGGGTCCGAGAAATCCGCGCGGAGTGCCAGAAGTCTGCGCTCGTGGCGCTCTTCTGAGGAATGAAAAGCCGACCCCGCCCTGGCTTACAAGTGCGCGGTCTGTCAACCCTCCTGGGAACCCCCCAAGGCCTAGAGCCGCCACAGGACGCGGCACACCACGCAGATGTTCACCCTGGCAGCCCACAGGAGTTTCGGCGCACGGCGCATCGTGAGCCAGGGTAGGGGCGTTTTTTCTGCCCTTAACGTTTTTTCTGCGATTGTCGGTCGCAAATGAAAAAAACCAAGCCAAAAACCATTCGACTGCGAAGAACGTGCCATTCGCAAATGAAAAAACCAAGCCAAAAACCATTCGATGACAAAGAATCATCGGGATTGAAACATATAGGAATCGTATAGTGGCTCATTAGGAAGGAAAGGCGCAGTCCTGACGAAATTGGGCTCCTGGATGGGCGAAGTGGACATACTCATTCTTCGACATAATGCGAAACCTCCCGTCGGGATTCTTGCACAGCGCCAGGGGGGGGTCTGGGCGCACCGCCCGCCGCCCACGGCCCGCAGGGCGCGCGCGAGCAGAGGCCACCGACCGGCGGCGGCCAGCAGAGCGCTCGGCGCTGCTTCCTCGCGGGGATGGCCTCCGTCTGTCCCCCCCTCGCGCCGCTGCGGCGGAGGCTCGCGTCGTGCCGCCGTCTCTCGGCGTCGGCTTCCGGCGCCGCTCAGTGCGCCCAGGGACACACACACATAAATGCACACAAGTCTTAGGTCGGGCGTGTCCCCTGCAGGCGGATTTCGGACGAAGAACTGAAAGTCCCCAAAACACATAGCACAAATACTTCAATCTGGTCAAAAATCACCCCAGACTATTTTTAAACTATTTTTGAATATTCCTCCTGAAGAGGGACAGGCCCGACTTAACACAAATCCCAGGAATCCCCACATAGTTTCCAATATCTTGTGGGTCTTCGTCTTCGCCACCCCTTCCAATGATCATGTTCCCATGTTTTCCTGGTAGTCGGCTATTCATTGCGTTTGTGTGCTTATGCCCCCCCCTGATCTGAAGGGCGGCGGACTCTGTAAGCACAGCCACTGCTCCTGGCCCTGGCCCCTCCTGGGCCCAGAAGCGGTGTGTACGCCCTCCGGGCTTGGCCAGGCAGACATATACACAGCTCCAGGGCACAGGATGGGCCTGGCCAGGGTCCGTGGATGCAGTCGGGGCTTTGACCCAAGGAACCCTAGGTAAGGACCGAGGCTTCTTTGTTTCATAAGCGAAAGAAATGTCGATTCCCCATCGAACATCACAAAGGAACACCAAAGGCGAACTGTAAAACAACGAAGGAACACTGCGCCCCTCCCAAACGAACAGGGTTTCTTCTTCAGCGCCCCGACTGTCTGCACCGCTCCTGCGGCCCAGGATGGACCTGGCCAGGTTCCGTGGATATGTGGAACACTCGTCGCCCGATACCGCGGGGATCGTTCCTTCTTGAACGATCAACTGTTTCCGCAACGTGATATCGTTCAACAACGTCCGACTCTTGGTCGCCAACGGCGTTCAACGTTCAATGCCGGCGGCGGGATCGCCGCCGGTCGACACGACGCGAACCTGCCGTAGCCGCGTCGAATCCGCGTGAAATACATGCCATACATCAAAGCTGCGTCACATCCGCCTCGAATCTGAGTCGAATCTGCATCGAATCCACGTCACACCCGAGTTCGCCACGGTGCCAGGCGAGGATTTATCCATAACCACCGCCGGCCGAAGTACCCGAAGACCGATAACCCAGGCGGTGGTTATGGACAAACCCTCGCCTCGGACACTTGGAGGACAGACAACCATCCCCCGAACATGCGACATACAGAAGCATGGGACTCATCCCCTGTTCTGAAGGGGCAAGGATAAGGGGGACCAGCTCAGGGGTGGAAGGATCCACGTGGAATCGGCGATACGTCGCCGACCGATCGGCGATCAGGCCCCGATGGCCAATCCGCACGCTTCTGGGCGAGGTGGGACATCGGACCCCCCATCCGGAAGAACAGAAAACACCATAAACATAAACTGGCGCGCGGAGCGCGCCAGGGGCGGCGCCGACGGCGCCGCCAGGGGGGCCCCAGAGCGGGATCCAAGAACTCCGCGCGGAGCGCAACAAGTTTCTGCTTGTGGGGCCAATTCTCCGTCGACCATCGGCGACGAGTGGGCGAGAGGGGGTCGATGCGCTCCCACCGGAGCCTATCCCGTGGCAGTTGTCGGGTCAGACCTATGGGTTCGACATGTCCTCCTACAGGCGGATTTGGGATGAAAACTAAAACATAAGCAACACATATTCACCAACAGTCAAACAATGATTTGAATCAAATCGTCCCAATACTATGTTCTAAATATCCTTGAATATTTCTCCTGTAGATGGACAGGCCCGACTTGATGGTAACTTTCGGGCCATGCCTCAAGCCCTTTGGGGCCGGGCACCCCAGGGCGCCTCTGGAGGCGAGATATGCAGGCTGCTGGAGAGCAGAGCCCGAGGCTGCAAGATCGCCGAGGACTGGCAGAAACGTCCGAAGAGCTCGAACCCCGAAACATCGTTTGGGCCAGAGGTGTCCTCCTACAGGCGCATGTTGGAGGAAGGATGAAACAGAATCCTCGAATGCTCAAACATAAGGAGAGGTATTCGAAAAATGCCCCCACACGATTTCTGTGTATATACACGCACACACATATATATATATATGTATATGTATATGTATATGTAATTATACACATGACTTTTCCTCCTGGAGGAAAACATGCCCGACTTAAATAGGAGAACAACAAGTGACATAAGCATAACAACTCGGAGCTCCGCGCGGATTTCTCGGATCGGCGCCCCCTCCCTGGCGCGCGGAGCGCCCCAGGGGCGGCGCCGGAGGCGCCGCCAGGGGGACCCAGCGCCGATCCCAGAAAAATCCGCGCGGACCTCCGAGGTTTTATGCTCATGTCACTTTTTGTTCCCCTATGAAAGCATCGCCCCCGAATGCTCAAACACAAGGAGAGGTATTCGAAAAATTGTCCCCACACGATGTATACATACATGCATATACACATATGTATACATACATATTTATACATCTACGTATATACATAAATATGTATATGTATATACATATATATACATATATATATGTATATATATATATATATCGATATATCTATATATATATATATACACAGGACTTTGCCTCCTGGAGGAAGACATGCCCGACTTAAAGCATCGCCTCCCCCCTGAGCCGGGCGCCCCCCCAAACGTTGCCCCCGAGACTCGCTCGCCTGCCTCACCATCGCGCTGGGGGCCGGCGTCTGCGCGCGCCGGCTCAGGGACTGCACCCGCCGGGCGAGCTCCGCGGCCTGCGCGCGGGCGGCCGCGCGCCGCGGCCGACGACGGCGCCGAGGCCGCCGGCGGCGACGGCCCCCAAAAATCGGAGGCGGCACGAGTTCTAGGGGAACAAGAAGTGGCATAAACATAAGAACTCGGAGGTCCGCGCGGACTTCTCGGATCGGCGCTGGAGCCCCCTGGCGGCGCCGGAGGCGCCGCGATCCGAGAAATCCGAGATCCGAACAATCCGCGCGGACCTCCGAGTTTTTATGTTTATGCCACTTTTTGGTCCCCTCATTTTGTTCACTCTCGGCCTCTACGGCCCGCCATCGGGCCCCAGGACCAGCAAGAGAGGGGACCCGGGGCGCGACAAGCTGCCCCCCAGAGCAGGGGGCGCGAGCCGAGGGCCGCGGAGTGAGCATAGCCTGGCGGTGGGCCCCGTCCATGTGAAGCGGCGAGTGTCGCGAGGCCACGATGAGTGCGAGTGGTTTGCCGGGAGGGGTGCGGTGCCGCCACGCGGACGCTGCCACTGGGGCCTTCCAACCAATTTCCCACGGGGACCGCCAAACGTGGGGAGGGGGGGCCGAAATGGACGCGGCTGCGCCGTGCGAGCCCTGCCACTGGGGTCTTCGGTCGAACCCACTACGGCGCCACGAAAAGTGCAAGGGATGCGCCAGTATGGGCGCGGTGCTGCTGTCGCCTTCGGTGAAGCTCGGTATGGGGCCACGAAACGTACGAGAGGTCTGCCGACATGGGCGCGGGGGCGTCATGCGCACCCTCCCGCTGGGGCCTTCGGTTGAGCTCCCAATGGGGCCACGAAGCGTGTGCGGGGGGTGCCAAAATGGACGCGGAGTCGCCGTGCGAACCCTGCCACTGGGGCTTTTGGAAACGTGTAACTGGCGCGGATGGCCAAGTTGACCCTTGGCTGAAGCACACTTCGCACTCGCGCGTGCTCAACCCCCACCGTCGATAAGCCGCACTTGAGCAAGCGGCCCGCGTGCCCACGGCCCGCGACGAGGCCCGCGCCCAGGTGCAACCCAACCCGTGCGAACCTCCCCGTCCAGCACGATGCGCCTCTCATTCGCGCAGACGTGAAATCGCCCTCGGACGCCCCACTGCTGGACGATGGCGAGGCCGACGAATTCGCATGCTTTCCACAGGTCGATGGACATGGCCGTGGCCTCCTCTCCTCCTCTGCGACTACTCGGCTCGGGTCGCAGGGCTTGCCACCGCGCCGCCTCCTCCGCTGACCGACCCTGCCTCCCGAACGGCTGCCCGCTGAGCCCGCGTCGAAGCTCTCGCCCCGCCTCCTCGCCGCAGATTGTCGCACGCGGCTCTGCGGGCGGGGGTGCCACCCAAGCAGCCCTGTAGGCCTGATGCCTGCTTGTGGCTTGGGTGTCATGACCACCAGGGAGTCCGTGATCACACCAGGCCAGACTGCCATGTCCTCGCACTCGGGTAAGCCTTTGCGCGGGCCTCGGCGAACCTCCACGGCCCGAACATCAACGCAATTTCGACAAAATTGCACGCTGATTTCGGCCGCCCGGCTTCGCCGTCGTCGAGGCCTCTTCCCGAGATCGTCCAGAAAGCGTCCAAACGTCGCCCGGAAATCGACCAACTGCGACGACAGCTTCCCGACAACGCACAACCACAAATAATCGGAACTCCCTGAGGCCCCCATGAGGGACCACGCAGCCGCAAAGCATGCCGAAGTCGGTCAGCGCCTCCAGCATATTGTCGCCCAACCAAGCGACTTGCCTCGGGTTGGCGCGGCCGCTGCCCCCCCCAACTCGTAGCGGAAGTCTGGGCCGCCCTCCTCGCGTCCGCCATTGTTGGCCTCGGAACGGCCGTTCCGTTGTGGATCGCCGCTGCCGGCCGAAGCCTGCTGCCATCTCGCCGTGCCCGCTGGGCTCTCTCGTGCGCCAGAAATTGTCCGCGATGGCCCGTGCTCGGCACGCTGCCCGCTGGCTGGCGCATCGCCCGCCGCGTCGCCCGGGGCCCATCCGAGAGGGCCTCGCCAAACAGAGCGCGCCCCGCCGCCACCTTCGGCGACCGACTGGATCACCCATCCACTCCTGGACGCCTCTGCTGCGCCCGGCTGCACGCGGCGCTGCGCGCGCTTCCGCCACTGCCTTCGCCTCGTTGATCCACTTGTCCAGCGGCGCAAGCAACGGGCGCCGCGGCGCAGACTGCGCCCTTGGAGGCCAACTGATGCCCGACGGCCCAGCGACCCCCTTTCGCGGCCGAAAAACCTTGACACGCTGCGCCTCACTGCTGGAAAAAATACAACAAAACAAAACAAACGGCCGCTGGCGGGCTAGAGTTCCGCGTCTGGTCGCGTTGGCACGGCGGGGGCACTGGTCTGAATATGCCGACGCAGTCCCCTGAGCAAGACTCTCATGCTCGCCCCTACTCTTCGGCGCCTCTCCGGAAAAAGGGGGCCGATGGGGGCGAGGCGCCTTTGACGAGCGGCTTTTCCTCCACCCGGCGCCTCTACGCATAGTTGCCTCGCCGCCCTGCACCTCGCCCAGACTACAGGTCGCATGAGTCCACGGACTCGAGCTCGGAGACCTGCGCCCCCGCCCAGGAGGGGCATTGCGTAGGGCGTGCAGGCAGCCCAGGCATCTGCCCTGTCGCTCGCAATGCTCAGCCCAGGCATCAACCCCTTAGCCTGCAGAGCCAGCCTGCCTAGAGCCCCCTCCGCCCCGCATCAGGGCGCCGCCGCCCCGCGCCATGGCGGGCGTGCCCTCCAGCGCCGCCGCCTCGCGCCACGTCTGCAACAGTGCCCGAAGAACGCCCCCCCCGCCCCCCCCCCCCATGGCGGGCATCCCCACACTTGCTGCGCGTGCGCCCCGCACGTGGCTTCCTCGATGCGCCGCTCCATCGCGACCCTCGCCAGCGCACGCCCCCGGGCTCTGAATTTCATGGTCGTCGCGCGGTGCCCGATCACCCTGCCCACCCTCCTGACGCCGTGATGGGGGCATCCGCTCGTCTGGTCATCCCTTGCCTTCCATGCAGCTATGCACTCCGCGGTGGGCCGCCTCCTCCCGCGCGTTCTGGTCGAACGCCACCAGCATGTCGAGGATCTAAGGTTTCTCCCCCTCCTGCTCAGCCCGGGGTTCCCCGCGAGTTCGCATATGTCTGGCGCGGCTGTAAGTGGGCCCACCCAATGTGAAAAACGCACGTCGCACGTCACGCACCAGGTCCCCTTGAGGTCCCCCAGCTGGGAGCGGGATAAATGGGGTCGGAAGATCGCGCCGCATCGCCGATGCATCGGCGATGCATCGGTGATGCAGCTGCGATGCATCGCCGACGTCGGAGTTGCATCGGCGCCGTCGGCGCGAAGCAAATCGGGCCCCGTATCGAACCGCATCGGCGACGCATCGCCGATGCATCGGCGATGCGGTGCGATCCTCCGACTCCATCTACTCCGACCACATCTGAGAAGCCTATAGACCACATCGTCATGGACCTCCGCCGCGTTCAAATGAGCCAAGAGACTGATCCGCAATGCTGCCCTCCAGTCCAAGGCGCGCCGGTGGTGAGCTGTGGCCCACGGCCCCCCGTCGGAGCGGCTTCCCCATCTCGCACGCGCACGCACGCACGCACGCAAACACCCATACGCACACACACGCACACACACACACTCACACGCACGCACTCCATTGTCCATGCTATGCTCTTACAAGCGCCGCGAAATAGCCGGTGACCCTCGACGTGAAATCGGGCACCTGTCCGCTTGCAACTGGCGTCGGGCCCCTTGGTGGGCCTCGCTCTTGCGGGCGGGCCCCATGCGAACTGACGTGCGCCCCCCCGCCCGCGGTGTCGCCGCGCGAACTCCGCGTCGATCTGCCGCGCCCCCAGTAGCTCGCCGTCGACGCTCGCGCGTCGACTGCTGCGCAGTTTCCAAAGGGGGTGGCCCGCGGCTGGCTGGGTAGCGCTAGACTTTGAATGTGTTCCGTATTCGCCCCGTCCGGGGCCCCATGGGCGCGTCCTCCGGAGGGAGCTGCATGGCCCCTGAGGCAGGAGGCCATGAACTCCCTCGCCCTCCCCGCTAGGGTGAAGCGCGCCCCTGCGACTGGCCTGCATGTCTACCGCGTGGCAGCCTAGGAGCCTGTCGGCAAGGCTCAAACCCACGATGAAAAAGTCCACTTTCGACGCCCCCTCGCCCGAATCCAGCGGCCGGCTTTCCGTCGGAACGCGCGTCGACGATCAAGTTGCCCCCTGGAGCTTGCGGCGCGCCCGACTTCTTTAGTGCGCCCCGCCGATGTCCCGCAGAAAACCCAGGCAGACACTCTCAACAAGTCGACCAAACCCGCGATGAAACCGCCCGGCACGAGGCCGGCCACGCGTGCCAGAGAAGCACCGCTGGCCAGCACATGGCGCGGGCCCGTGGCCTCGTTCGCGCCAAGCCCGCGCACCCCGCGCCGCCGCTCGACGGTAACTCCAGCGCCGCAGCTTGAGGCCCTACGCCTCACTCCGTCGCGCGCCGCAGCTCCAGGTGCCAAGACCTTGCGCGGCTCAACCTGCCTGCGCCTCTGCCCCTGACCCGCGGCGCGCTCCACGTTGAGGCGGTGCTCTTGGATCTTGTGGCCATCGGGGCGGTGATGCTGGAGCTCTTCGTCCGACCCCCGCACTGGCGGCGTCAGGATCGCAGTCGCAGCCCCCGAACCGCTGGCGTTGATTGCGGCGCTTCGCGCTTTCCTCGTTTCTTGAATGAGTGCGCTCGGCGGCCCTGCAACTATCGCTGCGTCCTGGCTTCCCCAATTGCCACATAATCAAGAGAAGCTGCTCTTCTTCGTGTTAACCGCCCTCCGTGGCTTCGCCCTCGGCATGCGGCCCCTCTCTCGTGGCGACGTCGACAATGGCCCCCAGCTCGTCACGCCCACTGCCTCCTCCGCCGCAACCCGGTTTGACGAACTCGTTGGCCACGCGCCGCGCGGCGCCCGCCTGCTTCGCCCATGCCTTGCGGCGTTTGGGCTCGAGTATGCCGGCAGCCTGTTCGAGTGCTTGGATGAAGTGATGGGTTCGC